ATATTCACAACCGATTTCTTCTAAAATAAGCTACCGTACTATATATATGTTTGGTATGTATGGTGCAATATGAGTTTCCGCCAGCATCTCCAAACATATTCAGTCAAGAAGTCTATAGGCTTCAAAAAGCAGAAACCTTCTCTTGAACATGGAACATCTTTCAGCTTTACAGCCATTTCAGAGTATGGCACCAACCCCAAGATGTCTACAGGGGATCCATCTAACCTATGAACCACCTTTTGGAGATTGCATCATCTAATTACTCTGAAACCACTGTACATGACCTGTTTCATCCTGGTTTCTGTCGGTTTTCCCGAAACCCCCGAAAGCTCCGGCGCTGCGAGCAGCGCGAAACCGAACGGACTCGCCTTGCGTCCGCCGCGCGGCCGAGTCGGCCGCGGCCGCCAGAGGAGTCCACCGGCAGCAGCCCACGTCGTTCCGGTGGATGGCCGGACCAGTCGCCTCCACTGTGACGCCACGCGCCAGGTGCAGGATCACACTGACTAAGCCTCAGCTGTTGAACATGGGGGGCCGTCATGTAAACAATCTGAACGACCGGAAGAACCCACCAAATCGGAATTGCAGGCCAAGCAACGTCCTTCCAACACATCTTCAAAGAATTGCTCCACGTTTCCCGTCTCCTCCATGCTCCGCAGCACCGCTGGCCGCGGTTCGGTCGGCGCCATGGCCTGCAGCTCCACGGCCAGCGCGCGACGCCCCAGTGCTGCGGCCCACACCGCCGCGCAGCCGGCGAGCGCTGGGCGCCGAGCCACGGCAGCCAGCACGCCGTCGGCAGCCGCATCGGGCGGCGGAGAGCTGCACAAGGGTTGCAGAAGATGCAGCCAGGTGCGGTCGCCCAGCAGCTCGGGGCAAGCAGTGCGGAGTGCCTGGGTTAGTGCCTGCTTAGGGGAGAAGTGAGCGGTCACTTCTTCTATGCACCAAACTCCATGACACCGTCACCTACAAGAGACGATTACATGAGAATGAAGCAGGAAGAACGCCCATCCAGTGGCAGAGAGGGTTCATGTGGCCATTCTCCCCGCCACGCCTCCACTGGCAGCGGCCCATGCTCCACCAGCTCCGGTTCCTCGACCCCTTGGGCAGCTTGCACTGCCCGGCGCCTTTCCGCCGGCAGCGTGGACACGCATGCGGCGGAGGCACACGCAAGGCGTGCTGAGGACGTGGGCCCGCAAAGGACCAGGAGACGGGCATCCAACTCCAAGAGGCCCAGCACTGCACCCATGAGCAAAGCACATGGGAAAGGATATGTGTGTGACAGGGAAGCTGGGCTGCGTGTGGATTGGGCTTGGTGAGGCTTGGGAGGCTGATTCGGACTAAGATCGGAGGAGTGACAAGGAAAGAGGTGGTCTGCCCTTAGAAATGATCAGGGGAAGCTGCACTGCAATGCAGTTTTGTACTGCTCGAGCCTTTCCAACGGCAAAGCTGAGGGCCCAAAGGCCCCACAGCCTGTATCTTTGGTACGTTGGATGACCCCCACACGGCCCACCAGCAAGTTCGGTCCCTTGCAAGAGTTCCCAAGGATCCAGGATCCCAGAAGTTTCAAAGGGAAAATTATGGAAGTGTTTTAATTCACCTGACCCGCAGCGGCATGTGATTCTTGAGTCTCACCTGCCATCGTTGGCGTGCTGCTTGACCAGGTCCTGACTGTGGCTGAACACCGGAACTCCACGAAAACAACCCACCATCTGCTTCGGTCCATGGGGCCTTCTCAAACGGTCCTCGCGTTCTTTTCGGTTTGGCTTCTTCTGACCATGTGATTTTCCAGAGGTGTTGGTCAAAAGGTCTTGATGTGGAATGCAAAATGATGGGGGGTCCCGAGGGTGGCTGACCATCTTTTATACGCTGTATGGACTGGCCTTACGACCAAGTTGACTCTTCCAGACCTTGGGAGGAAAATCTATAGTAGCTAGAAGCTACTATAGTAACAAAGGGCATCGCTACTAGGAACAGGAAGCTACTAGTAGCTCCTGGCATTACGAAGTCTCCGAAATCGTCTTTCCGCTCACTCCTCGGGCCGCTCTCACGCTGGGCTCCTCCACAAGAAATCGATCAATCTCTTCAAAAGTTTCTGCCCTCGGGGTGGCTTTGGGTGTCTGTGGGCTCTGCATAACTTATATATATATATATAAAGGAGGAAGTCAATGTGTAGCGCAAGACCTGGCCTGCTTCTTATGGCTCCACTGGAACTTTCGCCGCGAGAGGGGCTGGATTTCACCCAAAAATTTGCAAGACCCCCACTGGATCTTAGTGCAACTTCGCTATCAATGACTCAAAAAATTGAAGCTCATGGCCACACAAGCCTTCTCTAAGCGGGCACCACCTTCCATAACCAGATGGCTTCAAATCCTGATCTCAATTCCGGCTCTGGCGCACCTCGACATGGGTCCTGTCTCGGTCCTTCCTGCGAGCGAAGGCCAGAACGGTCTTCCAAGGCTTACTGATGTAAAGGTGGTGCAAGTGAAAGCACATCAAACTCACTAGTCGTCAAACAGATCGGGATCAAACCATGAATCAAAGGAGCAATCCGCTTTTTGAATGGCGACTCGCAATTGGCTCTTAAAGAGCCGTTGCTGCTGCTCGGCATGTCGGGCACTTCACTTGTCCGTGTCCTTCCGCACCGGGGATAGCTTCAGCTCAAGCATCACAAGCCCAGCTCGGCATGGCGCTTGGATCCTCCTCGGCGGTGCTCCACGCCGGTCATTCCGCCGCCGTTCCGGCGGCCGCTGTCGCAGCGTCTCTGAACTCGGTCGCGCTTAGGAGGGAGTCCAGAAGGCGAAGGTCCCAAGACAGGCGTCTGGCAGCGCATCTTTGGCCGTGGCAGGGATCCAATCTACGCAGGTCTCATCCAAACTCACCGGGTTTCCGGACATGTCTCGCAAGGCCCCCGAGTCAATGACGACCTTGAAGTTCGAGGCATCCGTCAAGGGTGTGGTGAAGTGAACGGTGAGCTCATTGAATAAGATGCTGGAGCTTCCATGCGTGCTGGTCTCAGTCTCCATGGGCAGGTCGAGGTCCAGACATATCCCCGGGTTGTTCAAACACACGGCCGTCAAGTTCCCCACGCCACGGTGGAGATCCTCATCGAAAATCAGCTTCAAGGTGGTCTTGCATCCCGCCTCGAGGCTTTGGCGTGGGCCCTCGTTACAACTTGATATCAAAAACGATTCTGCAAAACATTGCGCACAGGAACCGCCTGACGATGACGCCTGTTCAAATAATGAAAAATACCCCCCCCTTGCAGCAGAAGGAATGGCACCTACGTCTCATTCCGGCTGACCCCGTTGGAACCAGGCCTCAAAGCCATCCGCCTCGCACACCACCGTACTCCCAGAAGAAGGCTCGGTGCTCAGCAGCTGCGGTGGAACCAGGTCACGTGCCACATGGAAATCGAACTTGCTCTCTGCCAGCACCTGGTCCGCTGCCCAATTACCTGCCAGGTCCCGCACGGTGCAGTAGGCGTCATAAGAGGTATCCAAGGCCAAGTTCTCCAGCAGGATGGAGTTGGTGAGGTTCAACACACCATAGCCCAAGGATGAAGATTTCAGGATCTCCTCAAGAAGGCGTTGCATAGTGTCAAAACGCCCTCCAATAAGGGTCAAGATGATCAACTGGTTGATGATTTCAACTGGGTTCCATCATCCCAAGCAAAGGTTGAAAATAGAAATAGCTGAAACCAACACCCAGTCAAGCCTGCACCCCCTGTCACTACTTCACCGTCCCCGGCCCACCGAGGTCCCGCCAGACTGCCGAGGATCACTCCGGGTGGGTGGAGCTTCGCCATCACGCCTCACCGAAGCTGGAGCTGGGCCCGAGGAACCGAGGAACGCCCAACGAGAGCCCCACGACGAAAACGAGACGAACAAACCTCAGGATTCTGAAAGTCGGCCCGCTCACCTCACAGGTGAGATGCAACTAACCCTACTTTCAGCCTACTGACCCCCACTTCTTCCTGCAACAAACCCAGCGGATGCACGTGAGGCTCCCCCTTCTCGGCGTCCGGCCTTGCCACGCAATAGGCCTTGACCGGCTCGTCACTGGCCACCGTCAGCCAAACAGCTCCCCGGTGTGCCGGCGCAACGGACCGAACGGCCACCCACTGGGGCGCAGTCCTCCAAAGGTGGGGCTTAAACAGGTGGAGAAGCAAGAACATGCATACAGTATACAGTATACATGACACTGCTTATTTTTGAGGCAGTCTCTAGGTGGAATCACTCTGATTCGAACCAGTCTTTCCTTAGACTCCCTAGACGTGAGGCTTTCCCCTGCTGCCCTCCAAAAGTCTCACCTCTCCTGTCGGGCATGGTCACTTCTCTCCCCACTGCCGCGATGACGCTGTTGCTCAGCACATTGGGCACCGGGACTTCGTCATCCTCCACGGTGCCTCAGGCCATCCGTGGATGACGTGCGACAAACCGTGAACCCTGTGGAGCACGCTGTGCCCGGGTGGTTGAGCCGTTTTGTCGGCAGAACTGCACACTGCGCATGTGCTGGAAGGTTTGGACTATTGGACTATTAGACGTCGCACATCTTCCAACTTACAGTTTTGATTGGGCATTGAGCCGTCCCACGGACATCATGCTTTCAGACGCACAACGAAGAACCACGACGAGGGCACTCCCGAGTCCCCACCGGACGAAAACAATCTTCAAACACCCAAAACGGACGTGCCACGAGCGGGTGGGCAATTCCTCCCTTGCCACCCCATCTACCATGCTATCACTCCGCTGCCCCTCGCACGAGGTACAGTAGATGCCATAGGTACTACCCTCAGAGAGGCCAGTCAAAGTTAAGAAAGCCTCCGCATAGCCCACGGTGCTCTCATACACCAGGCTCGCGCTGGCACTGGCATCTCGAGCTCCGGAGATCCCCTTGATGCGCTGACTGCTGGCAGCGCTGTCACTTTGGCAAGTGACATTCTCAAACTCATCCTCAGACAGCTTTCAGTTTTTCAGTGCACTCAGCTGAAAGGATCTGAAGGGCATGTCATACAATGTGATCTGTGGTCTCCACCCGTTCCCACCCACGCAGACCCCCCAAAAAACGAACGCCCGAAGCACACCTTCACCCTGGAACTCTTTCCCTACCCAGCATCCGGAAGACCAAAGATGCTGAAGCTGTCGGTCGGTGGGCTCGCCTGGCCGAAGTCGTCCTTGCCCCAACAGTAGGCCACCCCATCAAAGCACAATCCACAGGAATAGTCGTCATCCAGGGCGATCCCTCCGAACCCAACGGACGGAGTGGAAGTGGCCGAGTACGGTGAGCTCTGGCCGAAGGTGTCGAGGCCCCAGCAGCGCACGGTGCCATTCTTCACCAAACCTTCCGGGGAAACATCTGGACAGGGGGCTCAGAGAGCCCACATTTCAAGCTCCGAAGTTTTGGACTAGGAGATGCAAGTTCTCTTCCAGAATCTTTGCAGGCCAACGGACGAACTCTCAAAGAGACTGTCTGCTTTGCCGGCAACTTCGGCCAATAATCTATGCCAATCCCTTCTGTGGAATCCTTTCCGGGCCTGGCCCTTGTCCAGCAAGAACCTGATGCAAACCGCAAGTGTGGTAGTGACCTGCAGACACTTGTATGAAGCGAGCGTCCTGGTCAAAGAGGCAGAATGAGTCTCAAAGTGTGGAGGCCCAGCCTTCCCCACCTACCTTCCTGTTTTATATATATATATATTATAGAGAGAGAGAGAGAGGGAGAGTGTGTGTGTGTGTGCGTCTTAAAGTCTTGAAGCTTGTGTCCTGTTGCTGTGACACCTCACAATTGCTGACGACATACGTGACTTGCAAATAAAACTGGACAAAGCAACAAGGCCTCCAATCTGAAACCTGAAGAAACCGGAAGCCAGCACCATGGCCTCCCCTTTCTCCAAATGTGAGGCGTGCTCATGACAGGTTCGGTTCCACTTGTGGGCCAAAGACCGACAAAAGGATCCACCCATGATGCCTCCAAGCTATACAACTATACAAGATACAAGCAAATCAAAGGCACCATCTCTCAAAGCCCATAGCTCGAATCCGGCCCGAGGCTTGAATTCGTGCGCAGTGTACACACGACAACGAAGCTTGGCTCCTCCTCGGCTTGGTCCTTCCGCTTCCCCATGTGCTGCTCTTGTGAGAGCTTTGGCCGCTGACGACATGGGATCTCTGCAAGAGCAGCCTGAAGCAAATCAACATCACTCCGGTAAACAACAAGGTGATGATCCTGCAGCTTCACACCTGCTTCAGCCAGCTCATGCGGCTGGATCCTCGGAACAAAGATCTTGGCCCCAGCAGCCCAGGAGGGCATGATGTCTCCTCCGGCGGCTTGCACTCGAAGCCGGCAAGGCTCAAGGATTGGGGACTGGAGGAGGAGGTTCGTAACCTTTGACGAGCGCGCCATGCGTGTCAGCCTCACAACAACAACCTCCTCACTGCTCGAGCCTGTCCCGCTTGCTGTGCCACCTGGATATTTGCTGTGAAGCAAATCATCCAGCAGATCTGCTCCACGGTGTGGACATGAAGTCATGAAAGGCTCGGTCACCATGTCGAACAGTACTTGCAGGTCACGTGCAGTGAGGTCACTTCCAGTGATGGAATACTTCCGGCTACCGGAGCCGCAGCCCCCGTTTTTATCCCAAGCGATGAACATCGCATCGGGAACCTCCTTCTTGTCGCCATCGAGCGTCTCATGATGAGGTTTCATGTCAAAGGTAATGAGCGGATATGTCCGGCAGGCTGCTGCAGGCGCACAGTCCATCGCTGCATCTCGGACCCGGGAGCTTGGGAAGTGAACGATCGCACAGCACAGGGAGGAGTGCTTTTTCACGTAAACCCATGCACCCTGGTGTTCATCTGGTAGCCGAGGTTCGCGTCTGATTTGACAGAGCAAAGGGCTGGCAGTCTCCATCTCAATTCGTCCAGAAAGAACAACTGGCCCTGGAAGTTTCAGAGCAGTCTCACTTCCTGTTAGACAAGGCGAGTGTTCCAAAAGAGTTCGGACGATTGAGCCGGAAGCTTCTGGGCTTGCCCGAAGCTTTAAAAATGGCTGGCTGTTGCTGCACGGCAGGTCACTTGGCAGTGAGACTGTTGCAAAGACAACTGCAGGGTGCACAACCACTCCATTGGCAGCAAAGCTAACCTGCTCCCCTTGACGGGTGGCCAAAACCAAGTTCATATGTTCAAACTCCATCAATGAGATCCCCTCCTTCCGAGCAGCTTTCTTCTCATCCCGTCCGCCGAAGTACAAAAGAGTGATATGGGGCTCCTCAATCTCCTTCAGTTGCTGGGCTTCAGCAGGTAACTGAAGATGCCCCAAAGCACCCAAATCCTCAACCGCCAGCTTCCAGAAAAGGTTCACTGTCTGCATGACGGCGCAAAACGGGGCACCTGGTGCGCAACAACAGGCTTAGAGGTGGCACCTTGAGCCAAAAGCATAAGATTCTTTAGGCCACGCCGCTCCCCTGGTCGCTGCACAAAACCTCTCCACGAGTCCAAAGTCCGCCGAAACTGCAATTTGATCCATTCTTATAAGTGGACTTTAATCCATCACTTTCCATACTTCCCTATCGCCTGGTGCCCTTCGGGTCCTGTGGCGCATCTGTCTGGCCATTGCTGTTGTCGCCCCAGCAGCTGATGCCCTGGTCGCTCTTGCGCACGGCACAGCCATGCGCCCAGCCAGAGCTGAGGCTGCCATGGGGCAAAGGCTCGCCACGATCACTCTGGGAGAGGAACTCTCCAGAAGGGGGGCTGCATTGGCCCACGTCCTTAGGATTCTTGAGCCTTGCTTGGGGACTGGAGCTCTCAATCGAAATGGAAGCGGATTAACCCCAATCACGTGGGAGTGCTAGAAAACAGGGCTGGTTGACCTCCTGGTTTGCACGACTACTGTAACAGTAAATAAATGTACGTAAATAACAGTGTTTAACCTTGGCACAGGCAGAAGACCTCCTTGTAAAAGTTCTTCAGGACACAACATTAAAGATGGAGCCGAGGGACTACAGCTTGAGAAAAAAGAGGTTGCGGCGGCGATTTGGGGAGGAAAATGCCAAGGCATGCAAACAAAATGCTCAACAACTGCGGGAGTCGTTCAAGCCCCAGCATAGGATCTGGTAGTCAGCCAACTGAATGCCACAAACATGCCGATAGCCAGCTGAGATGGTGAGGAATGCCACATCCGGCGGAGATGCTTGACCAGAATCATCCAATCCCCAGCACTCTGCCTTGTGGTCGCTGGATCTCAATGCACAGGAAAATTGATAGCCTGAGGTGACGTAGTCAAAGGTTGAGATTCCACCTGAGGGAGTCAAACACTTCACCCATCCCCTGGGGATGGATGTGGGGTACGTGAAGACGTTCCCCAAACGACGAAGGAACATCTCCGACATGGTCTGAAGAATGGGAAGACGGGTGGACAGACGAAATTCTGCACTTCACAGACTTCAGACTAAGAATCTCCAAAATAGCCAAAATTACCCTAGGCTGTACCAGTGTCCATCCCGAGCCGCTCCACCAATCTCCCCTTTCCCCACCTGGGCCGGCTGTCTCGCCATGCAGATCGCTTCCCCAGCAGGTGATCAGCTCAGTCGCCTCATCCACCGCGCAGGTGTGCACATAGCCCGCGGCGATGGACTTGAAGCTTCCCGCAGGCGCGCTGAAGGTCACCGGATCGATGTAGTCCTTGGGAGGAGACCGGAGACTGGTGGTTCTGTGGAACACCCAGGGGTTCTGAAGCTCATAAAGATTTGGAAGGAAATATTGACAGGTTTTAGGATTACCTTCAAATGCACATGGCACATGCACGCCCATCTTTTGGCTGTTGCTGGGTCAGATATTTTTTGGACTTCTTTGCCATTCAGTCAAACTTTGAAAATTGCATGCTTCGAACAATAGTGGCCAGTCTTCACGACCACAAGCTTCACCCACCCTGGACGAAAACGACCCGCCGCGATGCCCCAAATCGGACGCCTCGGACGGACACCGCCCAGGCACCGCTTTGCCCCAGCAGACGGCCGCGCGGTCCTCCTTCCGCAGCGCGCAGGCGTGGCGGTGGCCCACGGAGAGCACGGAGGCGAAGGCGGCGTCGTGGATCGTGGTGTCCAGCTCCGAGCTCTGACAGTCCACCTCTCTCGTTGCGGTCGCCGGGAGACGAGAGGGCAAAGGTGTTGGGAGGTCGGTCGGTCGGTCCGAGGAGGTGAATCCTCGGAGGGAGTTCCGGAGCTGCCTTTCGAGTTCCTTTTGGTAGCGAGATGGTGAATGTAGACTCTTGATGAAGCACAAAGAAAGTTACACCAGCATAGACCCCAGATAGCAACTATAATTCTAAAGACCAAAGCACCGGGGGACAAAAGTCCATTGAGACTGCGACAGACAAGACGCCGATCATGCAGACAAACAAGTGCAGAAACAAGTAAGGAGACAGGCAGACAAGCGGGGAGACAAGTAAGGAGACAAGGCAACAGCGGCAAAAAACATGGAGATTGCGCAGGCAACCAACTGGGCAGACATGTAAGGAGACAAGTAGGGAGACAAGGCAGAAGTGATAGCGGTAAACCAACACGAAATACAGGCACCCAGTCATTGAGAAGTAAGAACCCCTGTACTATCTTTGCTAATAGAGAGTCTACATTCAACGTAATGGGAAAGATCAAGGCCACAAGCTCATCGTACAAGGTCGATCTGCCGATGGTGAGACCCCGCTCTCCCTGGCCTCAGCACCCTCCAGCCAAAAGCGCCCTGAGCAGCCGTCGTCCACCCACATGCTGCTCCGGGTGATGCACCTCGATCGTTCATCGAGAACATTGGAGCGGGTCACCTTGCACCCCCAAAGTCCACCTGAAGATGTTGACCTACCAACCCATGCCCTAGGCCCCTCTGCAAGCAAAATTGACAAAACATACACCCAACAAGATTAACATGGAAGCTGAAAATGGACCTTTGGACTCTGGACGACTATTTTCCTCTACAACCCCGTGGTTTTCAGGTTCCATGTTAATCTTCCGGGGTGCATCCTGTGCGACAAACCACTACAAAATCCGCCCCCCTCGCAACCCACCTGCAGACAGCTCCACCACCCCAAACTGCCAAAAGCCTCTCAGCGCTCACCGCCCAAGGCACCCGAAGCTCGGGGGGTCACAGTGGATGCAGTCGCTCCGCGTCACGTTGCAGCTGCTGTTGCTATACTCCTGCGACCGTCGCCCGTGACAAGAGCACGCCGGAGACTTGACGGCAGACCACGAACGGGACCACGTGGACACGCCTCTCCCGGAGACATCACCAGGAACATCCGCCCCCGGAGGTTCAACAGTTCAGGGTCCATCCCGCCCCGCTGCGGGGAATTGTGGGAGTTGTTCTTTTTTGGCCGTGGCACAGCTGCAACAGCTATTTGAGTGGTCAAACTTTATCCATCCAACCATGTGCAAAGGTTGTACCCCCAGTACACCTGCTGCGCTCAAATCTATGGTGTCCTTTCGGATCGCTGGGCTGTGAGCTGCGAGAGTCGGCACATTCCATCCCCAGATCTCCCAACCTGAATAGCTTCAAACTCTGCAAATTGAGGCCTGAACGGCTGGGGTCTTTGGGGTCTTTCATCCAGCTCACACTTCTGGGGAAAAATGCCGGACACTTCAAAACCGAGCCTGCCGGTGACCCGAGACATCCCGTCCAACCGTCAGCGCACCTGCAAGAGCTCGATGTCAGCGGTGCAAGCTCCAGTCACATCGCTCAGTGCTGCACAGACCACGGAGCCGTCCTCGTCAATCTGCACCCTCACATCCACTCCCGTGGCCGTCACCGACACATCCATGACCAGCAAGGTCGGAGCGGTGTAATCAGCAGGCTCGAGGGTGAAGTAATAAGGATCCTCACTGCCACAACCACCTATACTAGATGTAGAACTACCAAAATGCGTATCACCCAAGTTAGCTTGGGCATGCTTGGGCTGCCTTTCTTGAAATACTGGTTCCCACCTCTCAACAACACAGCGCAAAAAATTACAGAAATACAGTTTTGGCAAGTCTACTCGGTCTAGTCTAGTCAAAGATCTTCGATGAATTGGGCTGGCACGTCATGGCTTCCCCAGGTGGCATTGACGTTGGGAGGCCAGCTCCCGTTGCGGAGGAGTAGGCCATCCCGAAGGCTCACACGGTGCAGCTTTCCTTTGCATTCTTGCGGCGGCAAATTGGAGCAGAAACCTCACGGAATTGAGACTCTTGGGGGCAGAGCTGGGGCTGCAAACATGGGGCACCAACATGCGAACACGGAACATCAAAGTTCAAGAATGGCCCTTGGTCAAGAGCAGCCAAATCCTTCCAACCATAATGCAATACGATACACTCGTATTGGCCCCGTTTTCTTGCCAGCAAGGGCACCGAGTGAAGAGAAGTCTCGCAGTGTGGCATTGGGCAGCGCGGAAAAGATGCGGCAGTACTTCGTGACGCAGGCGAGGTCCAGCGTCAAGGTGGATCCCAAGATGTACACCAAAGGCCAATCCTGCAGACCATAGATCTCCTCTCTCTCCCCCACCTGGGCAGCAAAGATGCGCCGCGCAAAGATGCGCATCAGGAAGGATCCCGAGACAAAAGAATGGGGTGAAACATTTGTGTGGCCACTGTGCAGGGAAAAAACATCCTGGGCAAACATATTGGGGTGAAGCGCACGCATGAAGCGCAGTCACGCAGCAATCTCCACGGCGATCCCTGTGCCATTCTCTTGGAACTCAATGGGCTCGGCAAAGGAAAACAGCACCGGGCTATTGATCGCCACCCCAGTTTGATCTCTGTCAGGGCTGACGGTCAAAACACAGGAGCTGAGGAAAATGAGCTGAAGCGGCTCGGAGGGGTTGGCGGAGGCATCCTTGGTAACAAACAAGGAGGAGCGTCGTCATAGTCCGAAGCTGACGTGTGGTCAGTTGCGGCTTGGCTCCCCTAGCTTCAACGAGACACCTTGCTGCCTTTTTGGTAGCCAAGGGCCAAGGGTTGTACATTTTACAAGTCCAGCTTCATCAAAGCCTGGAGGATTCTCCAAAGTTGCTGTTTGGGGGATGGATTCACAACAAAGTAGCTCGAACGGCCAGCTCTCCAATGGGATCAATACCTCATTTCCCGCTTCATGGCACTACCAGATACAGCCTCCACCCTGCAGACACAGCATCCACCAAACAGCCAGCGTCGACGCTCACCTGTGGTCGGCGTGCTCAAAGCCTTCCAACTTCCCAAACATGTTTTGGGGCATGACCAGGGTGATTTCCTGGGGGGTCCGAGGAATCTGCTGAACCCAGGCTACTCTCCATGGTCGGTGGCCCACCTGGACCTCCACACAGGCCCTCCAGGTAGCGACCATTTCGAGCTTCAACTCGCTGCCGGCCACGGAGATCCAAAAGCCTCTGGGAGAGGTGGAGCCATCACACGGCACCTCAAGCAGAAGGGACGCCGGCTATGGCTGAAGGCAGCGAGATCCAACGAAACCAACCGACATCCCACGTGCTTTTTCGAGGTCTGTGTGCTTGTTTGCTGTTCGTTTTGGGGAGGAAGTTCAACTTTGGGGCACTGACCTAGGGCAGGGCACTTCATGGTGTTTGCACATTCCGCTGAAACACCCTCCTAAAATCAATGTAAACGTGCAAAACATGCGGTTCCGGTCTCTTTTAACTGTGCAGTGAGGCAGAAGACCTGCCTCCTCCAAGGTCTCTTCCTCTGAGATCCGCATCCGGCTACTATTGCCAGAAGCCCAAATGGGCTCATCAAAGGTGATGGACAGGCTCTCCTTGGTGGATGCAGCCCTGTGAATTACAACAAGAGGACATCCTGCCCGGAAAGGTGTGGAAAAACAATGGTGTGGAAAAGCGGAATCCAATGAAGCTGACTTCTACCACTGGAGCTGGGAGTCGCAGACCTTGAAACCCCACTCAACTGCCGGAACTGGGATTCACCAGCAGCTGTACTGTTCGGCTTTCCAGTTTTGCAAAGGCTTCCTTTGTTCCATCTTGTTCTGGGACAAGTTGGCAAATTGCATGGTCAGGTCTTTGAGGAATGTTCACCTATCTTGGTCACTAATGCCCAAGTCCCCTTCAGACCTCGACTGTTCTTTTCATCAGTGTTGACCACGCTGTTGGGTTGGGTGATGCTCACATGTCCCACATGACAGGTTTGTGTTGGAAACCTCTGTGTCTGCGTTTTCCGCACCAACCGGACTCTCAATCGCCCTTCCACTCCAAACCTCCCCCACCAGGGCTCGCTCAAGGGCCAGGCGCTCTGGAACGCGCGGGGCGCGGAGCGCACGACGCGCGGCCCAGTGTAGTCCCCGGTGCTGATCAAGAGCCTCTGCTCCGCGCTGCCGCCTGTCCTGCCGCTTGAAATCAGCAAGTGTTCGTCGAAGGAGAACTCATAGGTGGTCTGGTCTTGGAGTCCCGCCTCCAGCACCGTGTTGGAGCCTGCAAGGTTGTTCTTTTGAACCTCAGTCTAGGGTGCTCTATATATATATATATATCTTGTGAAACCATTCTCGCAACACCACGGTGTTGCTACTTCCCCACCTTGTGGCAAGCTCAGCTGCTCCCCATCCAGCAGATTCCACTGATTCAACACCTCAACGCCCTCGTAGCGCCGGACAAAGGTGCTGCCCGTGCTGATGGAGATAAATCGACAGCCCTCGGTGCCTCAGGGATTGACCGGTTGCAACCCAACACCGCACGCACACGTCGTGATGAATGAATCCCAGCAATGGTTTAAGGATGTTTAAGGGAAAAATGGGCAGGCGACCCATTCTTCATCATAGTTTTGGGATAAAACCATGGTTTCCCTTATGTCAACCAATCCCTCAATCCCTTGAACCAAGGACTTATCCTTATTTCACCGGAGGCCCTAGACTCTTTCGCTGGGACACACTACAGGTACATCATCTGCCTGCAGCATATTTGGCTCCCGTCCCAGACTGCCAACACCCGTCCCAGACTGCCAACACCCGTCCCAGACTGCCAACACCATAACATGAGGCCTCATGTATAACTTTTGGAAATCCACGTGTCAAAAGCCGGACGACTAGTGCAGGGTGTCTGAAAACCATCGTGATGCCAAGCCTGCAACCACGGCATCCGACCAGTTGAAGCTAAAGTCGGAACGAGGATCAACGTCGGCCAAATGTACCTCAGACACATGCAAAAAGGTACTTGTGCTTGGGGTGTTCTGCACGGAGCCGTATAGTGACCCTAAGGCAAATAGAATGGTAAGCCAGCAAACACCTCAAAACATAGGAGGTCGTTTCTATCTAGGGGACCCCTGTGTTTGGACACCGGTCAGAGTTGTCTCTCTTGTGTTGTGCTCAGAGGCTAGGTGCTTTGTCTGCTTTTGGTGTAAGTGCCTTGGACCCAAAAGCCATCAACAGCCATCAACATCAATAGTCACATCTCTTAAGCACAGCTCTCCCAACCCATCTGTTCCACCTCTAGCCCCTTCCTTTGGAATCCCTCCACCTCACAGCCCTGATCGAACTCCGTTTTCGATGCTCCCGAACCTCCCGCCTGCGGCGCAGAAGACACCGTGCTGCCCCGCACGGTGGCACTGAAGCTGGCCATGTGCAGATCCCCAGGCATCTCGGAGGAGATCACCGTCACGCGGCGCTGCACCGTGAAGTTGTTGCCCACGCTGTCCACGCAGAAATAGTCCACGTAGTGGTCCCCCAAGACGTCCACATCCACCGAACCACTGATTTTGGCCGGTGATTTGCCATCCACCTGTCTGGAGCGTTGAAAGGGACCGGTGAGGTTTTCAAGAATGGAAGAGACTCGACCAATTCTATAAAATAATTCACCCTTGGTGACCGAGCTGCGGCTTTTTTCACAGGTTTTCACCCAGACCTCATCTTCACAAATGGCACCCCTCTCGATGTAATTGACGCCGTCCTCCAGGCAAAGCCTTGCCTCCCCCACCAGCTCGATGCTCGGCAGGCCCGAATCCACCACCAACACCAGCCGCGAGACGTTCGCCGAATTCTCGCGTGAGTCTTCACAGCTATAAACCAACAGAGTGCTGCCAAAACGACTGGTATTCACCCAGCCCGCCACGGTGATATTCGTTGTAAGGTCGCCGTCCAGATCATCCACACATGTGGCCCAGGGATCCACAAAGGGCTTCCCAATCTCCGCCTTTCAATCCGAACATGAAATGAGGACCGATCTATATAACCAGGCTCAAAAGAAAGACCAACCGTGACCAACCGCTGCAAACAAGCAGCACTCCCCGAAGTCAACAACCGCTTACACACGCGCACACGCACGTTTACACACAGACCGATTGTTGGGGGGCCCTGGAGGGTCCCCGTGGACCTTGAGAGTCGTGGCTCCAAGTAGGCTGAGCACAGGCGCCGTGGTGTCCTGCCCAACGCAACCCCAAGACTTCTCGTCAAAGAAGATCCAGGAGCAAAAGCTTCATGAAAACCGAGTGAGATACTCGTGTTGCTGTACTGTTTTGCTACATGGCTGTATTCACCGGCGAACATGGTTTGTCGTTCAAATTGTTTGTGAGAGGCCTGCCTAGTACCGAAACGACATCCGTCCCTGGAGCTTTTTGGTGGGGCACTGTTCGAGCTGCTTGGTGGTCCTCTATCTCATCGACATTGAGGAAGAGCTCCAAGATTCCCACATCTTCATTAGAGCTCACCTTAGAACTGCCATTCTTCGAAAAACAAGGGGAAAACACACACATGACAAGGTGCAACCAATCGGTGCCACAAACCTGGCATAATAGTTCAGCATATTTCAGCATCATCCAGCTACTCGGCTACTACTCTTTCACCTCTCGGCCTAAACGCCAACCCCAAGTTTTACAACATCCAGGACTTCCTCGATTCGATTCAGGACTTCCTCGATCTGGGCGGCCGGACGCTGTCGCACATGAGACGCACCTGCGAAGTCTTGAGTCTCTCTTTCCAGTTCCGACGGTTCAGAAGATCAACAGAGTGAGATACTTCAGGACTGTAAAAGGATCACAAACAGAAAGTCACTCAAGCGCATTCTTACTTACAACATCTTACAGTTGCATGTCTCCTCCTTCCACCTCTTCTCCACGGTCCACCTCTTTGCTCTTCTCCACTAACAGACGCTCCATGACCGCTCCGATTCGCCTCGAAGCTCTCAGAGGTCACCGAGAGGCTCACGTCGAAGTTGATCGACACCACGCGGCTGCCCCACGCCAAGCTGGCGGAGCCCAAGGTCCCCGAGTCACAGATCACCTCCTGGGCCCGCACGCGCATCCGCGGGTCACGCGAAAACGGCATGCATGAGGGTCCGGCGGGTCTCACGCGTCCATGGCTTCTAACTGAGAATGAGGTAACCATCAACCGTTGTCACATGGAGGTGTCCTCTTTGCAAGCAGTTCGGTCTGACCTTCACTGGCGGGCTGCAAGCTGCTTGACCATCATGATGGGCCAAGATTTCTCGAGTTACTTTTGGGGCAAGGGGCTCAAGTATATAAAAGCAAGGTGCTTCCGATGCCTCCATGGAAGATTACCATGTTAGTTCACTTTCACACCCCCCAAGCTTAGCTGCTTAGCTCTCTGGACACATGATGGGCCACCGGATCGAAGGGACACCGAACGGTCTCGGTCATCGTCTCGGTTTCGGATGGGCTGAAACACGGTGGACACCGAGGCAGGTTTGTAGAGAGGCTCCATCTTTCAGGGATTCACAGGTGAATCATACACCCATGGCTCATCACAGTCCAATTGGACCCCCCAAAAAAATATACATAGCTAAGCGCTAAGCTGTAGCTAAGCGCTAAGCTACCTAGTTGGGTACCTAGCTAGGTACCCAGCTAAGCGCTAAGCTGTAGCTAAGCGCTAAGCACTGTCTAGTTGGCCCCCAGGCCAACTAGACTAGGTACCCAGCTAAGCGCTAAGCTGTCTAGTCCAAAACGACACCTTCCGGCCCGCGCGGAATCCGCCGCGGAATCCGCCTGGCCCGCGAGGAAGGCCGGCACCGCATCGCCTCCGCACCTCGGTGGTTGGTGATGCCGTTCCAACAGCAGGAGTGAAAGCGGGCGAACAGCAAAGGGGGTTGGTCAAAGAAAGCATCGGTCTAATTCTACAGTAATTCCTATTCCGATTTACTGGGCAGAAGTCATATCATCAACTTTTTGCGATGTGTTCATCAGGAGTGTAGTTTCCAGGAACTTCTTGGGAACCATCGCAACCACCCGTGGCACTTGTGGAACCTGAATCAGTCATGCAGAAGATGCCAGTACGGGAACGTACCTAAACTAGGAAATGCTGTGGGGATTGTGTTGTGGACCCCAAGAAAATCAAAAGCCTGACGCATCATCGGGACCCGTCTGCATCCCGACTTCAGCTGACCGAGCCGCTGCAAGCTTTGCGTCCCGCTGCCACAGGGGCACATGCCAGCAGTGCCCAGGGCAGTGTCATAGGAGGTGCCCAGGGCCAAGGTGAAAATGTGACTTCGCGGCGTTCCCATGGTGATGGACATGCCATCCACATAGTCACCTCAAAAGGATGCGAAAGGAGGGCTGATTGAGAACACAGGCGCTGCCTTAGGCAACATAAATGTTTGCCTCTTGCAACTTTGATCTCCCTGATTCACCCAGGGGCTGGAATCAATGCTGGAGACATCGCGGGTGCCTGTCTCAAAGGCATCAGTGGAGCCCTTCTGATAGATCTGCCCTGTTCCAGTGATCCGATCGAAGATCCTGCGGCCCTTGATGTTGTTCTCCGCCACCATCGCAGCATAGGAGTCGATCAGCACCGAGGAGGAGGGGAAGCCAGAGCGGACGCAAACCTGGTTCCCGGAGCCTTCAGTTGTGAGTTGCCAATCTGCAGGACATGAATTGGTGTTTTGCGGGTCAATGGACAAGATTTGCACCAGACCGGCTCGAACCACCACGAGCACAAAGCCGTGCCAGCGCACATGTAGCAGCATGGGCCATGCGGAGTAGCGTGTCGGGCGAGTGTGCGTGGGCCTGAACCCCCTCCCAAAGGTCATAAACAGTTGTGGCAGAGATGGGCAGAGCAGCAAAACTTGGATGTGGAACTCGTGACGCAGAGCAGAGGCCTAATATCTAGGAACCTTGCAAATACCACCGCTTGCTGAACCACCGTAACTAAAGGGGATCCAGCTCTCAGCAACATTTGAGCCAATGTCCGGCATTCATAAATGAACCTTGGATTTAGGACTGCACTGCATGCACACAAAATGACGGGAGGCGGCAGCTCTCAAGATGACAAGGATTGAATGCTCAGGTCTTCCATGCAAGTGAAATTGTCCCTAGAAGGAGATGTACACAACCCTGCAGGAGCAATTGGGGCAATGAACTTGATAATTGAAGTAAACTGTAAACTTTAAAGTTTAAGGCGTTTAAGGACACTGATGATGGTCTGTGCTCACCTTCCCTCAAACATAGATGTGTCCTGCCCGATGCTGCGCACCTCTTTGGTTTCGTCGCCGTGTCAGCTCGTTCGCACCCGTCAGGCACATGGGCTCAGCGTCCACAGCATCGTTGGCTCAATCGAGCCAGTAAGGCCACCCAGCGCCTTGAGTGTTGACCCTCCAAATGCTGCTTGCAGGACCTTTGGTGCTGCTCCACCGCCCTCAACTCCACAAATGCTCGGCCGCACACGCATGCATAGGGAAGGTCCCCACATGGTTTCAAGGCCTCCAAATGAGCCGCCATCGACATCCCCAAGGGCAGTGACATCCCACAGACCTTGCAGCTCCGCAGGCTGTACCCGCCCTCCACACTCCGCGGCCGAGCCGTCGGTGCGGTGCTCGTGCCGTGCGCGGCGGCGCGGTGTTGCTGGAGCGCCTCCGCATCACTGAAAGTTCGGTCGCAAACCTCACAGGCAAAAGCTTTGGCCGGCCCCGTCCGGTCGCCATACTTCTTCAGCTCATGAACCTGCGACACAGAAGGGCGACACAGAAGGGCGGCTCCAGTGGATCATTGGGCGGAGCGGGTTGTTTTAATTGGGGGGGCGGGGGCACCAGTTGAAACCAAAGGGATGACAACGAAATACCTGCATTGCGCGCGCGCGAGGTCTCATGAAACCTCTCCCATCCCCCACCTGCCGCGTGTGAGTCTTGAGGCCTTGTGCCGAGGAGAAGCCCTTACCACAAAACTCACATGTTGACGTAAGCTTCAGGACCTTTGTAGGAGAGGCGCTCGGCATGGAGATTGGAGCCTTGTCCGCATGGAGTTGGAGATGGTAGGTCCAACTCCTCATGCTGCCAGGGGCCATTCGTTGCGTGGGCAGGTTTTTGAAGGACCTGCCTGTGCTGTTTCTCTTGCTCTCGTAGCCTGGGAAGGCAGCGGCGGAGAAGAGCACCGGATCGCGAAGCAGTGCGAAGCCGTGCCGCGCGGCCTGCTCCAGGATCTCCCAGCGCTTCTCTTGGCCTTCCAACAGTGTCAACACCACCCGGCCATCAGGGACGAGGTGCTCGGTGACGGCGGCAAAGAAGTGGGCCAACAAGAAGCGGTGCAGCTTGAAGTCCTCGGTGCCCAAGTGGGGATGATTCCAAGCAATGACATCCCACACTTGATCGCCAAAGGACGTCTTCAAGTCCCAAGCGTTCACCGAAAAGCGCACCTCAACACCCAAGGGCGCGAGGCGAGAAAGTATGCCAACACTTTCAGGATACTTCTCGGTCAACTCGCCATGTGCTTCGTAGCAACTCGCAGTGATCCTGGTTTGCTGGCACAGCTCGCACGGCAAGTGCAAATATTGGGACACGCTCGTAAGCTGTTCTGTGAAAAGCTCTTCCACGGCCCTTTGTTGCTCTAGATCCTTCGCAGATGTTGCCGTTGGAGCTGCAGGCCGTTCCAAAAGCAATCGCAGGGCTAAGGCAAAAGAAAAATTGGCCTCTCCCAACAGAAGCACTGAGCGAGATTCCCTGCCACCTGCGCCGCCGTGAAGCACTGAGCTTGTCTTTTGGCTCTGCCGCCGAGGCATGGCAGGGCAACCCGCTACATGTGCTGAGGCATGGCTCGACAACACAGCCCTAATCGAGACCCGCACATGGAACCGCTTGTCGCACTGTGACTTGAAGAGCCTCACGTCACTATGACTTGTGACTTGTGAGGATCACCATGTCCCCTCCCTCAGAGGTGGAGGTTTGCTGAGGTTGACTGGTTCATCCTCAACCCAGGCTTCATTCAAAACATCTTCCGCAACCCCCTACGGCCTGGCCATACATGCTCCTCAAGCAATAGAATGGAGCTGTGTGGAGGACCCATTTAAGAGAGAAGTGGAGACATCCAGCAGGGCCTGAACGGAAGCACCGACCAATCATATTTCGTTGGAGGATCACCTTGCCTTCTCCTGGCCGTTTCTAAAGCCTCGAGCCGCGACGTCGCACGGAGGTCTCAAGCAGACTGTGCAGGACAACAAGGGAGACGGTCTTTCAAATACCCTGGAAGAAGAAAAATTGCCGAAAAAACCATGGGGTTGGAGGTCTATCCCCCTATGAAAATACACACCCGTATTTGTTTGTGGGAAACCTTGGAAATGGCCAGGATGCCCTTTGGCGGAGCTGATGGCGATACTGTATAGTGCAGTGAATGTCTCAGCTTGACCAATGGATCCGTGGAAGGTCTTGCTCTTTGATGAATGTTGGACGTGCCTACCCCCCGAAGTATGCCACCTTTCCCCCAAAACGGCGAAAGATGCGTTTGGCTTTAAAAGTCTGGGCTCATCGTGCCTTCCACTCCCAGAGGCTGCGCCGCCCGCAGCGCCACCTGAGAGAAAGCGCCCTCTTTCAGTTTGGATGTCGAGGATTTGCATGGATCCAACTTGGTGCGGGTCATCACTAAGAAGTAAGAAGCCAGTTTGTGAAGCTGCCATGAGATCCAGAAAAAATAGAAAGTGTTGAACAATGTTGAACATATTGTTCAGCAAGGCCCACGCCAACTGGCATTGGGGAATCAAACCATCCTTCCGCTCCAAGACACGGTGAATAGTGCGAGCTTCCCATTGAGGAATCCATCTAAGGTGTTGCAGGATTTGTTTCAACGCTGGGATTGCCTTTGCAAAAACCCTTCACCCACAGGTCACTGCAAAACTCAGCTCTACTTGATGCTTGATCTGAATGGTCCAGGTCCACCGAGGAAAACCTCCCCCGTTGCCCTCTATGTCAGAGGCTCAGAAGGTCGTGCCTCAAAATCAGAATATACGCAAAGATTACCCGTTTTGAACATCAAATGCTGGGCCCCGAGCAGAGCCAAAGATTTTTAGCAGGCATCAGACATCCCTCGGCTGAACAGGCACCTTCTCCTCCATCCCGGTCACACGTCCATCATCGAGGGCTGAGGTTTCCGGGCGCGAGGCGCCCATGAGCTCGTCCAGCGCCTTCGACAGATCCTCGGAGAGTATGTGGGCCATCCAGACGGATCGGGAGGGAGGGGGATGAGCACAGAAGTGGTCTGACGTGAGGAACGAATCTCTTGAGGGTGGCTTATCGCTGTGATGGGACAAGAAGTTGCGTCCTTATCCGGCCGAAGGATCCTCAGCAGTATCCAAGCCAAGAAAAACCGGTTGGACGGTCTATCCCCAGAACTCCCAGCCCACACCCCCACCCAGTCTGGCTTCCTTTTTCGGACCTCAGGCGTATCGCCCCACATCCTGCACCAGGTGTTGCAGGGCCTCCACTCCGGTGTCCACCACGGATCCCCAGCTGTCGTCTGAGGCGTTGAGCTCCTCCTCCAGATCGACCGCCGGCGCCGTGCTCCAGCCCTCCGGGCTGCCCTCCGGCTCGGGCCCGTGGGCGGGGGAGGTCTCGACCAAGGCCTTGTCTTTCTCCTTGGAGCGGATCATGGTATTGTAGCCGATCCACTCTGAGGTTCCGGAGGTCACCGGCTCCTCCTGAATCTCCTGAGAGAGAGAAGATGTTGTTCGATTTCGAGCTTGACATCATGAGTCCACAGTTGATGATGGTGACGGTGACAAACGGGGATGATGACAATGCGGTATATATTATACTTATTATAGTCTAATGGTCTACGAGACTCGCCTCTCAACTCGTGGCATTTGCGGCTCTCAGTTGAACAGCGGGAACAAAACAGGACTACGGCTTCCTTCCTCCTCCATTACAAATCACGCAACTCTCTATGTATATAATTAGCTAGGTTTGAGCGTCCACACGACAGTTGGGCAATCCCCTGCCCCCCCTGATTGAAATCCCAACCACTTCGCGACTTCGCGTGGATCTGACCCCTACAACCTGGCCATGCGAAAAGGGGAAAAAAAACTTGGAGCGTCACCACTTCGACCACTCCGGCCCTGTTCCATCCTGGCTCAACCGCCCGCAACGGTCCCGTGCCTTGCGCACCACGAGGCCCAAAGCTTCCTGCGAGCGCCGCAAGGGCGCCGCCAGCGGCTCGTCCCTGGCGCTGAGCGGAGCTGAGCGGAGCTGAGCTCCGGAGCTCTTGCGCAGCATCACTGGGTTGCAACGTAGGTGCGCTGCACTCCAACAAGTGGCCAGCGTCCGAACAAACGTGATGGTTTTCAGATGTATGTATTCAGTGAATTGCGGGAAAAGTCAGTGTAGTTGGCTTTCATGGATCTTGAAATGCACAAGCAGTCTTGGGATTAGCTCAACGCTCTATCTGTTGTAGCTACATCTCCAAGCCAGGTTGAGAAGAGCGCTCAAAGGCCCTCTGATCATCCATCGTTTCACGGATAAAAAGCACCGGAGTGGGGGAGTGAGCGACTGCACCAGAAAAATGTCACGGATTATAAGCTTACATGCTTCCAACCCCTAGGGCCACAACAATCTCACGGTTCCATTAAAATGCTGTGGCTCAACACTGCGCCATCAAGGGCTGCCGTGGGTGACAGCTATCGAAGTCTACCGCCCAAACCCCCCACGGGCCTCAGGGCACTGGGCAGGTCCAAACGGTGGGAGGGCTCCACCACCAGCATCCGCGCCACCAGCTCGTGGAGCTGAGGGCTGTAGTGAGATCCCAAAGCTTCGTATTCCTCGGCACCGGACGGGGTTTTCAGCCACGCGGGTGTTCAGAGTGGCCGGACGTGAGTGAAATCACGCAGTCGCCTGCGGGATGGTTCGGTGGAAGTCGGAGCCACTGGGTGAGATGAACAGCCTGCAAAATAGCTTTGGGTGGCTCTGAGGTGAGTATCAATCAACATATCCGGTCCAAGGTCCAAGGACATCAAATTTGCACTACGACATGCTAGGACGTATGACTCATGCTACTATCTCACTTCTAAGCCACCCTGAGCTCTTAAGCCACCCCTCTAATTGGCACTGACCGTCACTGACCGCTTGCAACAACGTCGATCTGGCCTTGGTCTCGCATCAACTCGACCGCCAAGGCTCGCCTTTGATGATGATCTTCGGCAAAGTCTCCAAGGTGCCGACGAAGGGCCGCTTCAAGGCCGCCATCTCCTAGCCGGTCGCCACCGGTGACGGTCCAAGTCGGCCATGGCCATACCAGTGGAGAGGTGAGATGACATTCACAAGTTCAGACCCTTATCAAAAGCCCGCTCTGAAATGGCTGAAAATCTGGCATTCGCGATGCAACCCTTCTCCAGCCAAGCTTCGTACAGCAAAACGCCCAAGCTCCACACATCAGTTTTGTAGTTGTAAGGCTCTTTGCGAATGATCCTCGGGTAGAGTAGATGTCGGTGTAAAATGCAACAGTCACAGCTTGACCGGACTCACTCAAAGTGTCCACCGAAAGGAATATTCAGATATATATATATATATATACTCAGAAAGGTCTTGAATCCAACATTCCGGTTTCAATCCAACATCCCGTTTTTCACGGAAACAAAACCGTGGCATTGGCTCAGTTGAGGAGCTCCGGGCTGAGATAATAGGGCGTCCCCACGCGGGTGTGCGCCAGATCACAGGTGGATTCCAGCAGTCTCACCAATCCGAAGTCGCCCAGTAAGGCCCGCCCCGTCCTGGCACGAAGTCCCCGTCCGACTTGGGCTGGGCAGCATGAAGACACCGTGCGGATGTTCAGCGACAGGAAAAAGAACAAGAAAGATGATTGAAGGAGGCCTTCCTATCAGCCAGTACCCTTCTTGGCTACTTTTCGGCCAGAGGGCTGGCATAGGACCTCTAGGCAATCCTTCCCTTCACTTTCAAGGAGACCACTTTCTTCGGCGGAGCGACGTCGGGTCCTGCAGAGGAAGATGTTCCTCGACTTGATGTCCCGATGCACCATCTTCAGGCTGTGGACGAAACTCACTGCATCGCAGACCTGGCGAGGTAGGAGGTCCCGGTCCAAGCGGCCGTGGGTGAAAACGGGTGTTCAAAAACTGCAGGACAGGTGGTGAAAAGAATGTGTGCAGCTGCCGCAACAGCTCGGAAACCAAGACTGCAAAACATGCAGAAACTATGCGAATCGGAGTGAATGAAACCTACAGCTGGAAGCGTCGGAAGCGTGTCCAATCTCTTTGACCCTTTGCTTCAGACCTCCCAACCGATCGATTCGCCAGTCTCCGACCGACCGAGCCCACCTGGCTGAAGCACTCCAAGACTGCGCACTCCTCGAAGGGAGCGCCTGTCTTGGCACGGTCCTGAACATGTGGACAGCGCTGAAATTGAAAGGATGGAGAGCGCAGCTGAGGTCAGGGGGATAGTCATGAGTCAGCGAATCTGCAGGTCTGTGGAAGATGATTTCTTGGCATCCGGGGGCCCAATGCAAAAACCACTTGACTTGCAGGGCCAGTCGGATGACAGGTCGGAGGATTTCCTAGACGCAAGTGCCTTTTCGCCCCAAGTGCACAAACGTGTGGCACAATCCATGTGCTTAGACGCAAGCCTTGATGCTTGCAATGCGGAATTGGTCAGAACTTGCTGCAGACTGCTGGAAACCGAAAAAGAATTCGAAGTGCATTCTTGCGACTCTTGCGACTTGGCTTCTTGTCGATTCTTGTCGGCTCATCCAAATGACGTTTCGCCACCATGATGTTTGGCTAGGACTTCTCGTCAATCAGCATTTACATATCAGTTAATTTGATTAATAATACAAATGTAATTAATATATATATATCAAAATATTGATTACACTGCATACACAATGCAGCAAAAAGCTCATGAATGACAGGTCCCGGTCCCTCTACGGCGTTGCCAACTCTCGACGCGCGTCAGTCACCCCCCCGACCGGCCTTGATGGCGGCACACAAATCCCCGCCATCGGCGAAATCCATGACCAGGCACAGCCAGCCCGAACGCACGAAGACCTCAACTGATGTCTTCGAGACTCTGCTTTAGAGTCGGGGAGCGATCTATAGCCGGGGAAGAAAGCATGCGATCCAAAATCCACCTCAAAGACGATCCAAGAAAGTGCCGCACTTAAAAGAACTCTGCAGGACCCTCACCGAAGGGACCGAACGCCCGCCTCTCGAAAGCGAACCACATTGGGATGCTGCACCCGGCGCAGGGCCACCGCCTCGCGCACCGCGGTGTCGCGTGCCTCGTGAAGCCGAAGAAGCCGAAGAAGCCGAAGTCGGAAGGGTCGGAAGTGAAGTCAAGGAGCAAAGCGTTTCAAAAAGCAAGGAGACCTCAGGAGACCTACTTCGAGACACCAACCAAAAACCACTTGAGTGGGCGAAGTGTGTAAGAGAAAGTGTCAGTGTTGTTCGTCGAGGAGTTCCAGTCCTGCTGTGAATCCTGTTGATCTGCTGTGCGTCCCGGCCTTGCTATCCATCTTTTCCACTTCCACCTCTCGATGTGCTCGCTCACGGGCTTGGAGGCCATCGCTACTTGCTCACCCACCGGGGAAAAAAACCTTTAAAGAAGTACTGCGTACATCGTACCATGAAGCCAATCGGATTCGATCCTAACACTGCACCACTGCATACAAACCCCTCCAACTCCGAACTGAGTTGCAGGATGTTGCAGGGCTTTGTAGCTTGGATTCTCGGGTGCAAGCAACCTGTTTGCATGATATGTGCAATGCTCGTCCATCTGAACAACCACTCAACAATGGCCCAGTCCGAAGCAGCACTGAACAATATGGGCTGTCTTGCAACCTACCTCTCAATGTTTGTTTATATCTGGTGCCACGACCGAAAGCAATTCGGGTGGCCACAATATGAGCAGGTATGCTCTCATGGCCAATGTAGCCCCACCCTCGTCCAACAGACGACAAATCCTCTTCCAACTGGAGGTCCTTAGAGGCCACTAGTATTGCAAAGCAAGTAACTCAGTAACTCTACCCCTCGAAATTCCTATTCAAGTATGTATATATATATATATACACACTCCCCGAAACAATCATGGAAGTGGAACATAGACCCCTGGAAGACCAATTGTCCGTCCGCTCAGCTTCCATGATTGTTTGAGGGAGGGTATAACTCTACACCTTCATCCACACAATACTCGCAATACTATCTGGCATCGGGCTCTATGACTCGAAGGAGTGCCTGCTTCATCACCACGAGCTCATTGTTTGAGAGATCCCTGGCCAAGAAGGCCTTTCCAAAGGAACCTTGCCCCAGCAACTTGAGCCGGCGATAGGCCAACTTCTCATCATCCTCCAGTTCAGGCAGTCGCGTGGACACTGTTCACAATAAAAACAGCCTTGATCACGAACTTGTCATGTGGGTTTGGCCAGAAAACTCGCAAAATCGTGCAAACACCCTTGAAAACCTGCGGCAGCACAGCAAATGTCAAAATCAGTTGCCCCCCTTAGTTTTGCAAGGCCCGCGGTCAAAGGGCACGCCACCTGTCCTTGCAGGACGGCATCGCCTCCAAGCTGCCCTCTGCATCTCCGATCTCCGGACTCTCGCGAGCCATGGCTCCATTGAACGTGGTACCCCGCACGGTGGACGTCGACGGACGGTGGACGGACCAGTGACGACGTGTGGACGGCGACGTCGACCGATGTTCTAAGGCTGCTGGGTGAGGGATCCGATGTAGAGGCTGTTCCAGGCGCTGCTTTGGTTCTTATCTTTGTTCTCATGTGCTGCTTTGGTTCTATATCTGCATGGCAATCAATCAAGTCCGAAGTTCTTTCAGGTTTCAGGGGCCAACTCCCGCTGGCCTGACGAGACGACCAAAACACATCACAGTGACACTGTGGCACTGCCTAAGAGGGTTCTTTTGTGTGGTTGGTTCTGCTCTTCTGTTCGAGGCCAGCGGAGTGTCATGGTCCAAAACAACTTCCAGTCGAATACCCGATCGCTTCGTGGGGCTTATGCTGCGTCCTAACATGTCGGAGCAGTCGGATGGCATCAGGTGATACGTCCTACACAGCCTATGGTCTCGACGCCTGTCGCAGTGTGAGCCAAACGTTCTATGTCCATCATCTTCAAATTCTCACATCCGACTTGCCAGCATGGACATTATTGCCTCAAGCAACGCTCCTGACTGTACCACTCGGGAGGGGTGCATATGATGCATCATGTTCATCGTCTTTTGCTTGTGTCAGTGAAGCCTCCGTCCATGTTTCTTTCTATTTTTTGTTGCTCTTCTGAGCTGGCGACGCCTGCAGTCCTCTGGAGAACGTCCCGCACCTCGAGATCGAGGCCGGAGCAGCCCCCGTGCGGTGCGGACCGGCAGTTGGCTAGAGCCTGGTCCTAGTCACGTATATAGTCCGCCCACACGAAAATCGCCATGAGGGAATGCGAGCAACCGCGCATGGCAACTAAGGATCCCTGGCTCGCCGCGAGCCCATGACTTTGTTCTCTGTCAGCCGTCAAGCTGGGCCCCCCACCTGGCCCTCACTGAAGCCCATACTGGTCAAGGAACTCACCTCACATCCAGCAAACACCAGGAGCCAGGGCCGATTTGCGGGTCGGAGAGGTGGCAAGACGGTAAGACGAGAAGACAGACATACCCGTTGCCCAAGAATCCCAGCACTACAATCAAACTGTGGGACATTTCGACACATCACGCCGGCTCACTCCTCAAAAAACTGACAGGCCAAATCGGTAGCCATGGTGTTCCACCACAACACCGAGCTCGCCTGAAAATGCTGAGAGGTGAGATGGGCCCGATTAACTGAATGTGTCCCTATGTCATGCATGCCAAGCAAAGCTGCAAAACAATACTGGCTCACAAGCACTGATCTAATGCCGCTCCCTGCGCAATGGCAGAGACGGCAAAGTTCAGCACAAAAAGCTCCGTCAAAACGGGTGCTTTTGATATCCAAGAAAATGGGAACCACTTCCAACCTTTGGCTGGAAGCACCGTACTCCATGCCGTTTGCAACCCTCCCATTCAGAATCCCCCATGGGATCTCAGCCAAGGGAAACGAAGGCAAAGTAACAAAACCCGCAGGACGCGTGAGGCTGGCAGCAATGCCAGCAAGCTCAACAGGTAAGGAAGAAAAGGATGCTGAGCATGCTCAAAAAGTGGCCGCAAAGCTTCATGCTGAGGCTTACGTCTCCGGTGTTCACACTGCTGCCTGTATCTGGTAGAATTGTGTCGGTTGCATTTGCACCTGCATCATAGTGGATCTCGCTGCTGCTCAAAGCCGGTAGCTCCTGAATGTTGCCACCCATGTTGGAGCCAGAGGCATCAAAGCACGGGCAGAAGCG